TAATACAGGTCCCAAGCGATATGAAGATTGTGCAACCGTAGGATGCAGAATCCGCCAGGTAATCTATCCCGCTCATAACTGATTGTTTCTGTCAGAGAGAGTGTTGCGTCTGGATAACCCCGGACGACTCCTCATGTACTGGACATGAGGGGTAGTCCGGGTGAACAATTCTGACAAAACCGCGCTTCCGATACATTTCAGCTGCATAGATCAATTCGTGCCACAGTGGCTTTTAGTGGACAACATGACTGCGTGATGATGATCATACATACGTCACTGAAGCAAATATTTGCGGATAGCACATTTGCAGATATGTACTCAGCATTCGGAGGATAGGGCGAGGGAGAGGAAGCACTCGAAACGTGTCGTATGTTTTCCAACTGGTTAAACTTTACGCCGAACTGCGTTTGCTTTTATCCTTAGAGGGCGCAGCGATGCAACGACAAGTGATGAAATCCAAGACGCATCATCATCTTATAGCGACTATTTTTGGTGCTTCATAATGGCAAAGGATTCCGATGTCCTAACATTGCATACGCTATTACACCTCCAAAACGGTCTACACATGAATGAAATCAGTGAACAAATAATTGCTTCCTTTCGACCGAATTTATAGTATTGGCTATCGCACTTTTCCAGTCTTCCAATTTGAATTTATCAAAATTTGGCGGCCGAAATTTGCCATCTCGAACCAAGTCAGCGAGCTCCTTGAACATCACATCTCGTTCCTGAAAATTATGACTGCCACTTATTCATATTACTGGAATTCGACGCGTACGTAGACTTCTTAAAAACAATGAATTTCTTCGCCAACACTAAATATTGCCTGAATTATAGATCGAAAAGTATGCATGGCTATCTAGTTTAGATCACTTTACCTTAACTTTGACGTGAAAATAATTAAGGAAAAAAAAGCGCAGTTTGACATTCTTACTTCTACTTCTGATACAACTCGTTTTTTACTGATGCTGGAATTTATGAATTCGCAGGGCCGGCCACTAATTTGAACGAATAAGGTGATGTGGGTGCGGAAAACTGATGAAAAGTTGCCAGCTGCATGGTTGAAGAATCAGATTATGAAACAACAGATGTTCTACGCAAAGTATCTCTGTGTAAACAGATGCCTGGCCAATACTGCATTACATAGTAAGCAATGAGGGAATGGAAGCTCATTACACATCTTTAGGCGAATTTAGCTCCTTTTGACTCAGCTTCATTAGTATCATCACGTACAGAATTTTTTCTCCTTACCATATATTCTTTTCGAAAATGCCATCACCCGAAATAAATCAACAGTTTTACGCTATTTTGAAACTTTGGCTAACTCTCGATAAACGGCTCTATCAGCCTGCCTAACAAGTGTCCTCAGTGCAGAAAGTCACCGTCAGTCATTTCCCTTACGAATAATAGTCCGTTATCGCGCATAAAAAAATATCGCGAAAATCCAATCTTCATTGTTAACTTTATTGCTGTGACGTTTTTCAATACTGATTCTCGAATTCTGTAGGAGAAGTTATGAAATTCAAGTTTCTATCCTCATACAAAATCAGTCAGCAGTAATTCCGAACTTCCTCGCAACCAGCTTATTGGGAAAACAGAAAGTTCATTTCAGGGACACGAGCCACATGGATTTGTGAGCCAGATTTTTCAGTTTAGAAATATCGATAACGGTGTACTGCATCAACAATGATGAGCCAGAGATCTTGTAGAAACTGTAAAATTTGTTCGAAAATCAAAAAGAAAAAAAAAAAAAAACAACGTAATGTGAAATGTCACAGTTTAAAGATAATTTTGCTCCACAGATAACATCAAGTCAAAATATGATGATTTTCCGCAACCTTTTCTCGCTCTTTCGTGGCTCAGAATTTAAAACGCTTAAACATTTGACCAGTGGTACTAATAAAGTGCAGAACTACTCACTGCTTTGTTCTCTTCCATTGTATACCAATGACTCATCCAGAATCCGCGAAGTTGAATGTTTTTGAAAATGAACGGACCTGTTGGTGCCTGAAATATCTACGGCTAAAGACAATGCTACTATGCATGACTAGGGCCGAAAGAAGATCGTCATTTTTCCCTATCTCCAGATCTTTCAGCATCACTGATCTTTGTGCACTGATCAAACCAATAAACTTTTTTTACCTCCAAGGCTCCTCTCAATTACATTCCTTACTACACAGCTACTGCAGCTCCAGGACACACCACGATTTCCTCTGGCTTTTTGCGGGAACCCGAGGCAGTTACTGTACTGCATATGCAAGGGAGAAAGTAAGTGGCAGCACACGACAGAAGCCACCGATCATGCGTTTCTGCGACGAGCCCATAACGGGTGAATATGACAACAACAGATACGAATTCTTCCTGCTTAGTCACCGCCGCCTTTTGATCTACTTGGCGAAAAAACTAAGATTACTTCGTTCCAAAACTGTAATCTCAGCTGCATGTAAGACCAATCATAGATCAAGAAACGTGAAAATTTAGAATGTCGCTTCTCTAAATACTAAAGATTTGAACTTGCAGTTCGTCCCGTTTAAAAAGTGTATTAGTTCGGACGCAAATTCTAAACCTAACATCCATAGCGCAACAAATAATCGGCCATAAGCTGATTTCTGGCATTTACGCCGCCTTGCGCAGCCAACAATATGCCTAAAGTTTCTGTTTTCTAGATCACTTATTTTGAAGTATTGGCCTGCCAGGGTATATGAAATGCTGAAAATCAGCTGCCGAAGTGAATTCTGAGAGGAAATTTCCTGAAATTTAATTCATAGCCCGTGGCGGGGTTTCAGAATGCACAATTTTATTAGGTCGCAACATCCAAAATTACTCAGATTAAAAGAAAAACATAGGTTAGAGCACACTAACGAATTGCAGCACCTTCAAGGTGGCTTCATTTAATAATGCAAAACCACCGCTAAGCTGCCCAATCCACTAATCAAACATTTAGAGTAATTGGAAAGGTACAAGACGCTCGGTGGAGCGAGGTAGGGGCGGAGAAGGAAGGCGAGCTGGAAGAACTGCAAGCTCAACAAAAAAAAAAGATCAGGCGATGAATTAACGGCTGTTTCAGGTATATAGGTTGCAGCTTCCAGGTCAATCCTGGAAGTGCAGACGGTGGGTTGCGCAAAAGCAAGAAAATACTGAAGGTGGCATATTTACGGGAAAATAACACTGAAGGCGGCAAGGCCTCTTTTACGTTGTTATATTAAATTCATTAAAAGTCAGATATAATGTGTTACTGTTAGCACCTGTATTGGCTGTTTGCTCATACCACCATAGGTGACCATGATTCCGTCATTTCGTAAACAGCCAATGAGGAACAAAGTACCGCGGCCGCCAACACAATTCAGCGCCAGACGA